ATTAGAGACCTTGAGGCACAAGGTTTCATTATACTTTGAGTAAACTGTTCCCAGCGGGGACGTTACGATATTACATACATTTTATATTCTTCAGTCGCAAATAACAAGCCTAGGTATAAGTCCCGTATATCAACCGCCGTTTTATTTCCCACGTTGAGCTTTTCCTCTATAATGTCAATCGACGTGTGCACCTTGTAATGAAACTGCAGCTCGGCAGCTTCGTCCGCGCACTGATATATCTTGATAAATTTCGGCGAGTTCTGCGAAATATCAATCAATTAACAGAAGAATTCGATGCTGAAAGAGACTCGGTTAGATAGATATGTTGAGTGTAATCTTGAAAGATTCTTGTCATAACCTCCACAAGTGAGAAAACGCCGTGTATACTTGCATCTTTGCCGATAACAGCTACGCAAGCGGCCATTTTACGAGATTCTACAAGAATGCAGAAAGAAAACCGTTACGAGACGATGCACATTTTTCGCCGAGTGTATTTTTATGCGAGAGTAATCGCGAGCACGCAACGCGAGCGTTCAGTAACTCGCGACGAAGCTAGGTTAGAACGACACCTCTGTGTCGCTCGAATAAAGAGAAAAGGTTTCGTACGAAGCATATGTGATATCAAGTTTTGCACGGTACAAAGAAAGACGCACATTGTACATACAGCAATTGTAATTTATAACAATTACATATCAATTGGTACATTTACAAAACGTGAGAACAGTAATGCCTATCCAACATGTTGATAATTAACGCAAGCTCCTTCTTTCCGTCATTGATCATAGTATCTTCTCTTGAGAGTTCTGTATTTGCGCAACATATACAAAGCTTCCAGCTCTTTTATCACAAAATTACCGTGGCTTATCATTCTGTCTATCTTTTCGGGATCAGTCTCTGTTTTATTTTTCTCGAAAGCTCTCTTCAGCTTCGTCTTGAAATATTCATATCCCTTCGGATAGTCTCGGCCCATGTACAACAGCTGAAAGACAATGCAAAGGCAAACCTTGAGAAAAATTGTACGATCGCTAAAAGCTGAACGGTACGAATACGCTTCATTACCGTTTTGTACAAATGAACAACTTTAGCGCGTTGTGACATGACACATAGTAAATCTCGGTCCAGCCGCAACTAACTCGGCAGCACTCGGAGTTAATTGGACTTCGGACTCGAAGCACCGCGAGTCAATTGACAAAATGATAATCTTTATCATCTGCGATTATTTTCATTGGATACAGATGATAAAAATTGCGAAGCCAGCGATGTAAACTGCACTTGATGGCGGTTTAGTAGAGAACATGATCGGCAAAGAGGTGGCACTATCTAAATTTCCAAGAATTAGCTATTCCGAGAATTTCAGACTTCAAATGGCGAAAATCGAGAATCCCGAAAACTGACAAAGTATCAGGAGAATATGATCGGCAAAGAGGTGGCACTATCTAAAATTCCAAGAAATTTCAGCATTTCCAAGAATTGCAATTCCGAGAATTTCACACTTGAAATCGAGGAAATCGAGAATCCCAAAAACTGACAAAGTATTAGAAGAACATGATCGAACCACTCGGAAGCTCGAGCCTGTGTTCAATTGGTCAATTGGCCACGTTGGGCCACTCGACTTTACGTCAACACTTTGCAAGGTTGAGTTAGCACAGAGCTACGCGTTATCCCTTAATCAAGGTATCGCTGCAATTTCAGGTTGCATATTTCGCAAATAAATACAGGTATACGTGATCATGCCGCTATTTCGCGTAATTAACCGTGATTAGAGAAACTCTAACCTTACCTAATTGTCACCGCCATCATGGCTGATGATATTTCTTTCTTGCCCCTCAGGTCCCAGCCCCGCGAACGTGGACTCCGTTCACAGATATTTCTACGTCCATGGTCCAAGTGGTCAAACGTAAACAGATAAGAAGGTGACTCGTTGTACATACCCCAGTCGTACTCGGCTATTATTGTGCTCTCGGAAAGCCCAACTTTCTACAACGCAATTGAGGTAAATGTCGCACGCGTGATTAAAACGATAATTTTTATTCGTTCCGATAGTATTACATTTTGTGCCATTAAGATAAATGAATTTAGCACTATTCACAAAACAGGTAATATCGTAACAAACGTCGTTAAAAGCACTTGGAAAGAACCAAGCAAAGCGAGCTGCTCCATTTTCCTTTACACATCCTTTATCTCCTTTTCGCAACGAAATGACAGTTTGATGCGTTTCTACTCGTTTGTTTCCTCACATTGTAGTTTTATTTATTTTATCAACAATTACGTTTCTACTACTTTAATAGATATTTGGTAATGAAATAATATTCCGTTGCTGCGACAATGACGTTGCCTTTAGCTTATTATCTACTTTGTGTAAAAAGTATAATTTATACATTAATTCCATTAGTATGTGTGTAACTGTCAATCAATGTAATCTGGCTGGGTCAGACGTGTTATCAGAATGACGATAAGTACTTAAATATATATGTATATTCATGCATACGTTATGCATTTCAGAGACACAACGAAGATGTCTAGCGTTAGGAATAGTTTACTTGTAATACTCTGTGGTAAGTTATTCAAGTGGATACGTACAGGTACAAAGTAATAACCATTTACTTTCAACACAATGCTAATGGTCACCCTGTATAATAGTAGCCTTTTCTTTATCTATTTGGTATTGCCTTTCCAAGAGCTCTCTTATATAAGTCAGTTTATTTATAATTTTGCAGTGATATGTTATGCAACGGCGCTTCCCAAAGAAACCGTGACAGCACCGACGTTCAGTAAAACGTACACGGTGAAAGGAACATTGTATATACCGTATGCGGAAATTCGAGAGCCTTTTTACGCGTGGTACGATGGCACCAGTGGATCTAGTAGAATCGATTATTATGGAGGTACTTGGAGATGACAATCTCTCTTCTATTCACTCGTTATCTATTTTTAACTTGGCTATATGGACTGTTATAGCGTACATAGTATACATAGGCAATATATAAATCTGTTCCTTTGTCTGACAGGGATGGTTAAGACCCTCCAATTGGCTCACAAGGGACAATATGGAGCCAGTATCAAGTTAGCGCCTGTTACCACAGAGACTGTTGACAATGCAGAAACATGTCTGCAAGTGAATGGCACTGAAGATTTGAAAGTACAGCCGCAGTCTATTATTCCAGATGCGTCTGAAATGGAGGTAAATGAAATTGCAGGATTGTAAATTCTGTAATTTTCTTATTTCATAAAATATACGTGTATACATGTGTATAAAATATGTATAAGTAGCTTTCAATGAAATTTATGCACAGTGTATCGGGGAAGAGATGATCAATGGATTATTGTGCGAAAAGTGGCGACTTGTACAGGAAATTGGGGAGAAAACAAATAAATACACACTCTGGATACGCTATAAAGTAAGAATAAAACTATTTGTGTATACAATAAAATTGTATAAATCTGCAGTAGAGAAATCACCATCTTTATAGAAGTCGCCATATCTATCAAAAGTCAAGGAGCCTATTCCCGTGAGGTATGAAATGAGAGGATTCAATAGTCTTTTAGGTTCACATTACGATCATTATTACCTGGAATACGATTGGTATTCCTTTGACAAACCTTCGGACGATGTCTTCAAAATCATTGAAGGTACGTAAAATTCTTAATCCGATGTGTATACAGATTTTATTTATTACATAAAAATAAGCCAATTGTATCGAATTTATAATTACGAAGGAAATTACTTGCAGATGCCAAGTGTGTTAGCTTCCCAGGGCCAGGTGAAAATCACGTATACACCTTTAATCCAATGCGTGAATTCATTCATAATTATGAAGATCATTTGCATCAAGCATTTGACAGATTCAAAAAGACTCACAATAAAAATTACAAGAATGACATGGATCACATGTATCGCAAAGACCTATTTAGACAAAACATAAGGTACATTTATGCCACGATAGGTATTTTATGTATCGCCATTCTAAAAGTTATTGCTTCATATAAATAACTTTCAGATTTATTCACTCTACCAACCGTGCCAATTTGGGTTATCAGTTAGATGTTAATCATTTGGTGGATCGTAACGATCTCGAATTGAAGGCTTTACGAGGTAAACAATATACTCCAGGTTACAATGGCGGAGCACAATTCCCGCATGATGTCGCAAGGGAAATCGCAGACGTTCCCGACAGTTTAGATTGGAGGCTGTATGGCGCTGTAACGCCAGTCAAAGGTTTGTAACTAATTGTTATATTTATAAATATGTATAAGTATTAATATATTTTATTTACACAGATCAGTCCGTTTGCGGCTCTTGTTGGAGTTTTGGTACTACTGGTGCGGTAGAAGGTGCATATTACATGAAGTATAACAAGTTAGTACGTCTGTCTCAACAGGTAAGCAACTTGTAAAAGTATCCAAATTTACCAATTTTTTTTCTGTTTGATTCCCAATTTTTATTTTGTGTGCTGAATTGATAATGTTAAGTGTTAAATATTAAAATATAATACAGTATAAACAGAGGGTATAGTGCTTATACCGCAAATCAGTGATATTAATATTGTAGGCACTGATCGATTGTTCATGGGGATTTGGTAATAATGGATGTGATGGCGGAGAGGATTTCCGTTCATATCAGTGGATAATGAAACATGGTGGCTTACCTACTGAAGAAGATTATGGTGGTTATTTGGGACAGGTAAATTATTTGATTACATTTATTAAATATCTGATCTGAATGAAATTCGTATCAAGCAGAACAAAAAAATTCTTTTGCCTTTTCAGGATGGATACTGTCATGTAACCAACGTAACGTTAACAGCCAAGATCACCGGTTTCGTTAACGTCACTCCACGCAATGTGAAAGCTTTGAAAATCGCCATTGCTAAGCACGGTCCTATTTCTGTCGCTATCGATGCCTCCCACAAGACATTCTCTTTTTACTCTCACGGAGTGTATTACGATCCAGCTTGTGGTAAGATTTATAAACTTTTTATTTATAATTTTCCAAAAAATTTACGAGTACAAATTTCTCACTTAAAGAATTATTATTTTTTGTGTACAGGTAATACCGAAGATAAATTAGATCATGCTGTTTTGGCTGTCGGATATGGCAATATGAATGGAAAAGATTATTGGCTGGTAAAGAATTCTTGGTCGAATTACTGGGGCAACGATGGATATATTCTAATGGCTCAGAAGGATGATAATTGTGGAGTTCTTCTTGCTCCCACATACGTTACTATGTAAGTGTAGGCCTATTTCTAAAAATTGGTCGCATTACTTAAGATATTGGTCGCTCTCTAATCTTTCCAATAAATAGATACATATTAAAATACATTTTAAAAAATTGAGAGGCTGTATAAAATATATTTAGTTGTCTATACTTCTTATGAACAAATTGTCTATACTTCTTATGAACAAATTGTAATAAGTTGTTGAAAATTATATTTACTATATAAGAAAATGTGATTACTAATAAAGGAAAATAAAACATTTCGTAATTAAAAAAAGTGTCTACTAAACAATTTTTATTAATATCAAAAGGTGATTGTTTAGGAAATTAAATAAAAAGATTTATTTTATATCGCAGAAATAAAGAGAATGGTTTATAAAAATCAAACAGGTGTACATGTTTTAAGTAAAACAGAATCTTAGAATATTGATTTATTTTCAGAGTAGCCGATATTAAATTAGTACCACATATAATTTAACATAGACTTGATGTGCGCAGATAATTTTTTGCCAAAGAATAAAGTTACTTTCATTTTTCCCTTCTTTTCAGACACGAACAGTTGCACGTTATATTTTCAATTATATTTTTATTAATAGCTTTGTTAACGAATAATACGATATATTCAGAAAATTTTTATAAACTGTTTTTACACATAACGATGTCAACCGTAATTAGTAACTATACTAATTCGTTCCTTCCTCTTTTTATTATATTACTTAATGCATTTTTTCGTTTGTCAAATAGCCTTGTACAATTCCAAAATATCGTAATAACTATATAATATTTTTACAAATATATAAATACTTTTTCTAATGCATTTGTGTCCAGTAAGATTGTTATATGGCATGTGTATAATGTGTAATTGATATGGATACTTTCAAAATATACATAATTTCGCTTATAACTATATATTTGCGACATAGAAGCTAAAGGAATGTAAAAAAGGTACACGTAATATGACAAACAGGTATAAAGCAGATATAATTCATGGAGATGTAACAAAGGAATCAAACTGATTCTTTGCAATAAATTTGCGCAATGAAAGTATCACGAGTGTATTAAGTGAAATATGATAATTATAAAAATAGTTTGTTAAAAACTATATAAATCCGTATATATTTACACAAGCTGTGTAACGTCAATGAAAAAACATCCGATTGTATAATCTACTAACATATTTTTAGCGAATTCGGTTGTTCGCACTAGTGCGCACTAAGGCTTGTTTATAGTTAATTGTTATATTTCACTTCGTCTTAAATATATGTTCAACAAATATTGAGCCAAAAAATGATGCATACAGCTGCTGTACAGATCATTTTACTGGCTACAAATATTTCAAGAGATATTTAAGACGAACCTTTAATATAAGAATTGACTGTAATGACAAACCTTAGGGTGCATTCAACGTGCACTAGTGCGAACAATCGATTTCGCTATTAGTAAAAATCGTTTGATTTTCATCAGAACGAAAAGGATGCTAACGTAGTGCGTTTAAGTACACGAAACGTATATTATTATATATACTTTTCACAGATTCCGTTTCTCAGTTTATATAGTACACTGTGACTAAGTGCCAATACTAGAAAACCGTTCGAAAGAATCTTATTATACATCTGTTTATAAATCTGTTCTCCGAATTTTCTTGCTATCTCTAAAATTTTACTTTCATTCTATATCACCTGCGGACGAGATATCCGACCAAACTCGCGGATTATTTTAATATCGACGAGTGTAAGTATGACATTTGCAAAAGTGTCCACCTTTCTTTAATGTATATTACACACGATAAAAGTTATAGGAATGATAAAAGCTGCTCCAGAAAAAGAGTGGGGGGGGGGGGGATTGTGTGTGGTATATCAAGCATAATTTTATCACTAGTTTTTCTTGTTAATTGTATAGAAATACGCGCCATGCGATTTTTCATATGAAATACCGAAATATTTCCCGACAGAGACTGGTTTGTGCTTTTGATTAAAGAAATCCCATTTCTAAGGCAGTATACAGGGCTTGGGTGTCCGAGTGGCTATTTATCCTCCAAAAGGGAAAGTTGTGTGCCCGCGCTGCCGTTTCCTCGTCCGAATCGTCTCCTATTACCACGTACGTACATCTACGGCCAAATCGAGCGACCACCCTACCGAAACAGCTCTCCTTTCCTAAAATGAAAATACTTTGCTACAGTTCCGCAAAAAATAATGAAAAAAAACGGCCAAGTTTTTTGTTTGTTTAAAAAGGCAAGTTATACTATTATAAATATTAATATATGTATTTTTTCCTAATTACTTGAAAATAAAAATTTTATATTTCATTTTTCTCAGAGAGATTTTATTTTGAAGGTAATTATTGAATTCCTTTATGTTTGATAATTACCAATTTTAGAGGCCGAGTATATATTCTCTATGGGGAATATTCCGCCAATGCCAAATAGTAAAACTTTGGAGAGCGCGGGTACCAGCTGCGTGTTCGTCACCAAGATGTTGATGCAGTGGCTTCTCTTGTTGATAATGTTGAGACATTTCACAGCCGACGTCAACCAGTTTTCAGTCAACATTTCAATCTCGGAACGCAACTGCAACCACTGTTCGCGCTTTGTTGTGCCCAGAAGACCACCCACGTTGTTTCGATAATTGCAATAAATTTCCTTGATCTTACGATAACGGAACGCTAGTTTCCTCATCCAGTCGACACCGCCTCGCACACCGGATGCCAGGCATATCCCATTGTTTGCAGACGCGCACTGAAAGCCATCGGTCGCGAAATTGTAGGATGACAGATCCTGCCCGTTGTCGTCCGACGAAACATCGTCTATATGTACTTGATCGCAATCCTATAAAAGAAAACGTAATATATTAAATTTGTAAATTTGCACTTGCATTTGAAAGTACGAATTTTCAGCTTAATTGCTACATGATGTATTGCAAAACGTGTGATTCGAATGTGGTCAGTCTCAGGCTTCAAAATTATTTTTTACTCTAATGAATACATCTCAAAATTTATTATTTCCTAGCTAAAATCTCACATTGCATTATACAGGTAGTCATTTGGGCAGATGTTGACCTCTAAAGATCACATATGGTCAACTCATGGACGCTGTCAGAAAGCAAACCAGGACTGGACTATTCGGATCAAGTATCTCAAATATTATTTGCAAATGTATAAATAGTAATGATAAGTAACATTTGAAAATGGTTCAACTATTTTACACAATTACTAAACTATTATATAATATTCTACAATATTTTATATACTATATTTAAACTTATAAAATATTCTTTTAGGAAGACAAAAATATGATATACATATATCAATATTATATGAAATATTGTACGGAATATTAATAATTGTGAAGCCATTTTTAAAACATTTTCAAATCTATAAAGGTCATTGAAATATTCTGCCTTCGCTGGAGGGATGATTCCTCGGGGTAAACCGCTGAGGACATGTGGTGTACAGATTTGCGGCATTACTGGGTATTATTAGGCATTTTTGGGGTATTAGTTTGGGCATTATAAAGATAAAATAAGATAAGATAAAGTAATGGTGTTTACCCCTCGGATGATTCTGTATAAAATTTATGCATGGAAAATTTCTATTACCTCAATGTCATTGAAGAAAAAATGCGTATCCGCCAAATTGAATATCATCTCTTCCATCCTGTACCCTACTTGAGCCAGATGACTTGCATCCTTACGGTACTTGGTGGCGTATTGTCCAGTTAGTAGGGAGTGAAACACAACTATGGTTTCGTCGAGGTCCCAGATGAATATACGCTCGGGGCCGGCTTCCGTCGTATCCGCGGAACCGATACTGTTTCCGCTTCCGCTCTGTCTTCTTCCGCGCCTGCATGGCTTCGTCGTTGCCACTGTAAAAGGACAGGTATAGATTTGTTTTTCTCAATCATTTCTTTATCACTACATCTTCTTCCTTTGAAATATTCTTTCAAAAATTATATGTTACCTTCGATGTTTGCGGTTTCCCGTGCGGTCAGATCGCTCGCATCGTGTGTCGTTGGATCTAACGTAAGCGCGGACTTTGTCGAATCTTCTTACGCATATAAAATAATGTTAATTGCGATTGTTTTGTAAAGAGCTCTCATTAGACGCGCACGTGGTTATTGTTTAAATTATAAAATCTTTTGTTTACATCAATCAATTTAAAATATTTAAGTTGCAGCATATTAACGCGATACATTTTAACATAGTTTTCAAAACTGGACTCGAACCATCTTCCGATTAAACGACTTGAATAAAAAAAAAATTTCACTTTTATACCCGTTTTTCCAACAGTTTGCACAGTTGTTATAATTTATTTATCTCTCACAAGGAATTTCCTTTTCAAAAGAAAGGAAGGTTCTAATAGTAAATGATTACCAGCGAAGTTGATGTTTCCGATATTGAATGAAGCCGGCGGTGCATGATGATAACTAGCCACAGGATAGTATCCGGAATACTGGAGTGGTACCCTGTCATTCCCGTATAAACTACTGCTGTAAGCGCTATAGTCTAATTTCTGCGGAAGAAGAGGAGAGAAGGTCATTTGCAATTTTTCGGGACGAAGCCAAGAATGGAAATGAAACGTGAAATTGGACGCGTGCGTTCTCACCTGAGAGGCCGATGATATATTTTGCGCCATGTTCGGGAAGGTCGTTGTCCCGCTATTGTAACTGGCGTAGGACGGATACTGTGTCATCGAGCTTGACGATGTGTAAGAGCTTAGGTACGAGCTCTGCAAGCTCGATGCGTTTTTCGAGGCTGTTGCTGATCCGTAAGGTGGCGAATTGTACAAGCTACGGAAGAGAAAGAATCGTCATAAAAAATTATCTGCTTAAATAATGGGAATCTGCTCGTGCGAACCAAATTGACCTTACAAATATAACACATACGCAGCCTGGTGATTACACAATGATTTTATTTAAAAAAAAAAACGAATTTCCAAAAGATAAAACGCGATAGCGAATATATTTTTCATATCTTATTCAAAATACACTTTCTCTATTGTTTTTTCAAAGTTAATCTCATTGCGTTCAGTCAACAGATTGTATCTGGCTAATTACTGTTTGAGTACCTGTTGTAATATTGATTGGGTGAGTACAAGGATCCGTAATCCGTCTTTTCCATCGAATCCGGATATTCCTGCTCCTTTTCCTCGGCATTCTCGTCAATGTACAGTTCACCACCGGGTACGCTGTCATTCTCGGGACAGTCCTGTACCTCGTTCTTAACTTCGGTCTCTTGTATAAAAATGGAAACACAACATTCTGTTTATAAAACGCAGTTTTTTTATGTCCGATATTGATTGCCACTTTGTAAATTGTATTCTCGCGTCATAGTAATAAATAATCGGCAATTTTATTCAAGTTGATACTTGTAGATATATCTACAAGATGTATGTATGTAAGATAATGATGTAAATTTGAATTGATGTGGCAATATATCTATTCTACGCCATTGCAGATGCATGTTCCATCTACCATTGTTTGTGGCGCGAGGATGCTGTACCGAGGCTTCTGTCGAGGAAGACACGTTGCCAGCATTGTCTAAAACCCCTGCTGGTTTTGTCGGATCATTGTCTTCGGTTAACATATCACTCTATCTGCAACGACATAAAAATCACCGATTTATTTCTCAGTGCCGTTATTCTAGCGAAATTATCGTGAGAGAATTAAAGTTGAAAGTCGCGCCTCAAAATGATCGATGTCTCTTTATTGGAAAGATTTGAGATAGTCGAAAAGAGAGAGAAAGAGAGGGAGAGAATCCGTAAGTAAATCGCAAAACGCAGTGTTATTAATGAAAAGTAACGTAATATGCAATCATTTTTATATTTCAGCCGAGAGGTAAACATTGTGGTGTGGAGATTTCGGGCATTGGTGGGTGGTATTTGGCCTTGCTGGAGCATTATAAATCTATCGAAAATGTAGCCCACTGGGCATTAGTAGGTATTGGGGTACGTGATTTTGGTCAGCGGTTTACCCCTCGAATTCAGCAATCTGTAATTTTGAATGGTGCACGTCCCCGATAAGAAGCTAAATCCGTACGCGAGCCCGCGTTGAAGAATCGTGCGTCAACGCGATCTCGCAGGTGAAAGAAGATCGCACCTGTGAGGTCGCGAGGCCGTTCGCTCGCGTGAGAACTCGATTATTGTCTGCCAATTGCGTGTCGAAGAGGTGGAGTGACTGGCCGGGTAGGCGTACACCATGAGGCACCGAAACCAGCCAATGGAACGATCCTCGATGCTTTGCGTTATGTATTCTTTATGTTGCCAAGTCACTATCTATATCTGTACTCCGCCCCCGTGCGCGTACATATGTCTCGCATATACTTGGCGCCATGGTGTAAGGGATATACCTTGGACAATTCCTCGAGGTGTGACCACGCTCGTACACGTGGTCTTTCAGTTTTCTCAAATTTTACTCTACTGCGACAAACGACTGCAACTTTAACACGTTTCTGAGCGAAGCTCAGGCGCACCCAGTGAACACCAATTAACCGTTGCGTTAATATTATAATTTTCCACTCAACGATACAAACGTAATGCGTCGAGTAAGAGAGAACTACAACCTTAAGCTTTTCGTGCAAGGAAGCTAAAACACAGGCATAATTGTTAAAATAACACTAGCCGATGACGTTCTGATTCGCCGAGAGTAAGCGTAAGAGCTAAAGTAAAAGTAAGAAATAAAATTGATTTAAGGATCGTCTACAATAGATGAAGTAAGAGTAGGAGTAGAGAAATGTATCATTTCCATTTCTTACTCCTACTTGAGCTCTGACGTTTACTCTCGGCGAATTAGAGCGCAGTTCGATCAATGCTAGAAATATTTTTAAAAAGTATGCCTGTACTTTAGCTTTTACACCGCTGAGGGTATTGTGGTGTACAGATTTGCGGCATAACTGGACATTACTAGGCATTTTTTGGCCATTAGTGGGCATTGATTACAAGATTTTGGTCCGCAATTTCCTCCTGTTTTACACTGATAAGTAAAGGTTACGGTTTTCTTACTTCTCACTGCTTACTTCCAATGTAGACGGTCCTTTAAGGCTGG